TCTATGAACATCTACCTCCGCTTCTACTTCCACCTTCTCCCTGTGAAGGCAGATCAAGTGGAATGAAGCGTGCATGCGTGAGGTGGTCATGAGGGAAATGCAGGAATGCTTTTGAGTGTCCACAGGGGATGGCTTTGGAAACTGTCATAGATTTGCTTCCAGCAACCCTAAGCATTGTTCCAGCTTTTCCATGCCTTTCCTCCCTTTCAAAACATTTCCAGCTCTCTACCACCTTTACAAGGTGCCTCTACAATCCCAGTTATTTGCTTAAAAGAAATATCTTGTTTCTGTCATGATTTGACGAAGCAAACCCCAGCATGACCGAGGGAGGAGAGAGCTCTTCAGAGGGCTGCAAACATCGCTAAATCAAACACACACCATGGAGCACTCCAAAGTCTGAAAGAAACATTTCTACATTCTACATTAGATACATTTCTACATCTACATTATTAGATATAAAAAGCAGCTATTTAAGCATCCTGCCCTTGCCCCTACAGGAAAATCTGCAGGCTGTGCAGAGAAGGCCAGTGATATTCCACACCTCCACCAGTGTTTTCTGGGAATGTGCTCATAAGGTCTGGTTCTTGGACACACAATAAGAGAAAGTGTGGACCATCTCATTAGGCAAGTGCAACTTAATCCAAGGGAAGAAAACTTCTACATAACTAAGGTTTGGTTGTTGTTGTTGTAGTTTTAAATATTCCCTTTCACCTTATTTTTTCATCCTGTTAGCTAAGCCGGTCAGCCCTGGCCCCAAAAGAGCAATTTTTCTGCCCCCCATAGCTAATATTAATTCGAAAGACAAGCTCAGGTGAGTGCAGAAACTTCTACAACTTCTGCTTGCCAACCTGCTGGAAGGAGCACAGACCTTCCAAATACAAGTGCTCTCTTGAAGCAGCTCATTACACTCTAACCCAGAAACCTACCTTTGTAAACAAGAGGCAGAAAGAAAAGCTTGCGAAATGAGCATGCCAGGAAAGAGGCAAGACGCAGCCTCTCGCTCAAGTGGATACTTTCAGCCCAGCAGAACCACTCTTTGAACAAAACAGACGGCTCTTTGGCTCTGCAAAAACAAAGGTCAAGATGTTATGCAATACTGTGGAAAAAATGTGAGTCTATTCAAGAGGAGGTATTAAGAAAGTTCATTGAGACAGTCTTAGTTCTCCTATGGTCATCGGTGCTGCAGATGCTGTTGTTTTCTCCACACTAAAAACAAAAAGGTAGCACCAAGAAACACAAAGAGTGCAGCAGCTCTCCAGTGAGTGCTCCTTCTCTGAAGATATAACCTGTTAGGGTTACATCCATAAATCTAAAGCAGCAGTTTAAACTCAATGCATTCCTTTCAGCTAGAGATTATCTTTCTCATCCCTGCAACTCATGAACAACAGTATAAGCATTAATAAAATATTATTCCTGGATTTCTTTAATTTAAAATATATTTAAATTTTCATAAAACATTTGGAACCAGAACCAGTTTTTTTCAGTCTAATAATGTAAAAATAAAATGCACACTGTGCACGCACAAATATGATAATGAACTTTTAAAAAGTTATTTGTTTTCAGACAATCTGAGAATTCAATCTCATTTGTTCTTAACATACATTTTTGCTATATTATGCTTACATTAAAATAGTAAGCTAGCATAGAAATAGCATTCAAGATTTTTGTATTACATCTCAAGTAAGTTTCTAGATCATAGAACTGCTTTGCACCATACCTGGCTAAGATGATTCGAAAAGGTCCATACAGCATCTGAAAGTTTGGATGAAAATGAAGACCAACAGATACTTTAAACAAGCAAAAAAATGATAAGAAGAAACACCAACCCGTACTAGCAAGTTCTAATTCAAGATATATATGCAGATAGGCTACTCAGCATTCAGTAGGATGAAGAACTACGGCCAATTTCCCTCCTTGAAGACAAAAAATAAGGAAATAAAAACTCATTTCACAACACCCCACACATCTGCAAAAGCTCCTTCACATACCTATCTGCCATTAAATTTAATTAACATGCAATTTCATATGAGTTCCTGAGCTGCTAAATTATGCTGCTAAAGCAGTATCTTTCATAACAAGTAGATGAGAAAAAGTGTTTTGGTCTTGCTCTATGATTTACATTTAAATATTGTCAATGCTTGTAGCTCCAAAGCAAAAAACCAGTAGATTCATTCCTCCTTGCCCCTTTGAAAGGAAAGTGTCCTGCAAGTATCCCGAGCTGAGGAGGAATCATCCCACCCACTAAGGACACAGCAGTAGAGCTATGAAGTCTCCATGGGTTTTCCCTCATTTCTCTCTCTTGCCTGCAGTGACATCTGCTGGTACACACCCATCCCAGCTTCGATCCCCCAAAATTAATTCCAAGTCTCTGCAAAGTCACATAAATATTGAGAATTAGTACTGGGTATAAACTGTAGACTGGAAAGCGAGCATCTTCGGTGAATATTCTGTGAACCCGACACACACAAACAAACAAAAAAAAAAAGAGAAAAAACGGTGTGAGATTATTACAGCAGTTGATTTCTTGATATATGGAGATGCACGCATGCACATCAAGTCTAACAAGGATGGTATCAAAATTCTGACCAGTCCCAGTAAGCAGTGAATGTTCCCAAATTTATTCAATTCTAGGAAGGGAAAAAAGAAATAGACAACAGTAGCCAAAACATGCAACTTACGGAAATAGGATAATTTGTGCTGTGATGGAATTAAATGAGATCTCATTTATTTCATCAAGCTTTGGGCAAGCAGGTCAAGAGATTCTCAGACTATAGAAAGTTTGGTCACTGAAGAGCATGTACATAGGCTGATGCACTACAGGCCCTCACAGCAGCCTTCTGCTGCAGCAAACTGAAGGTAACATACTTCCCCGCCCCCCCCGCTTTCTCTCTTCAATGCTCAGATTGTGGTTCTTCTTCCCTTCTTCCCAACAAATTTACAAGGAGAAATGCTTTTGCAATCCCTCTGGCTAGAGCATACTAGTCCATGTCCCAAAACAGACATTCAGTAAGTGGTCAACTTCCGGAACATGCTTACTGAAGTCATCTTTACCAAAGAAATTGAGCCTTCATAAAACACATATGGTCATGTTAAAACATTTTTAGCCCTCTCCTGCCAATGAATATAACCCGAGAAGCAAGGCTGGTTCTGTCTGGGAGACATCTAGATGCAGAGTCTGTGTAACAGGTTACATATTAGAGTAGTTTGATGATGAACAGAGCTCTGCAGCGTGTGTACAAATCAAGTGCTCCCTCTCCTCCTGCCCCTTCCTTCCTTAGTATCTAAATAAGGACATTTGAGCAGGTCCATCCCCATCTCACACTCTTCTCCCTCAGTGGTACCTAGTGATAGGTCTTGCTGCTGTCCCACAAACTGTGGCAAGCAGTGACTCACCTGCTTGAAGGAGCCTGCCAGCTCGAGTCAAACACCTCCCCATTTCACCAGAGGCCAAGCCCGAAGATCATCTGGACCTCGGTTTCCCGGACCCTGGAGAGGTTGTGACCTTCCATGAACAGAGGAGTGCTGGGGAATACCTGCCACAAGAGTTCAAAACCTCTTACTAAGGAACCAAAGGATATTATGTCAGGCCACATTGTTTCTCTTGACACAACTAGGCAGTTCCGACTTCAGGTGTCCAAGTCTTGTTTTCTTTTGTGAGACGAGAAAGTCTATCCAAAAGTGGCAAGAAGGTTGTTAAATAAACTAGCAGGTAACTTTTATTTAATCTTTGCAGAAAAGCAAGAAGTATGCTTAGTGAGAAATAACTTCATGTTTTTCAGAAAGCAATTAAAAAGCATGAAGTCTACAACAGAAGCTAGCATGTTTATAGTTAGTATCTCAAAGGAGGCTGTATGGATGGATACTTCCTTCTCTCTAAAACATATCAGAGCTGGATGTAACAGAGCAGTCTAAGCATGAATAGAAAAAATGGGTTTAAAATAGAAGCACTGTTTTTTTTTCCTCCAGAAAAAAAATTATCAACTGCAACATCACAGTGAGTTTTGAAGTCTCTGTGAACCTGGCAGCTCAGATATTACTGTATTTGAGAACTGGAAGGTGCCTATCAAAGCAAGCCAGATGCCAGGAAAAGCTTGTGTAGCTTTGTGCTTTGGTCGTGAGATACAGCAGCTGTTGGAAACCTGTAATTTGCTCACCTGTAGACTCACAGACACTGGGGAGGAGAGCGGGCTGGGCGGAACAGGTCTGATCTCCATTCCCTTCCATCACTTGCTTTCACTTTTTCCTTTGTTTTACTGACTATGCAAGTCATCAGTAAAATTTCAACCAGTCAAATGCACATGAAAGTTTAAGGGCAGTACGCATCCATTAAATTACTCCAGCTGGGAAAGAACCTGCTGTAGCTGTTGATTTTATATTTGATACATAAGTTAGGTAACAGAACTATGCGGCTCCATAGCAAAAAAAAAAAAAAAAAAAAAAAAAAAAAAAAAAAAAAAAGGGGGGGGCATTTTTCTGCCATTGCAGGTAGTGAGGTTCCTGCAGACACAGTAAAGCAACTCAGAAGTTTTCATAGACCTTGTGCTCAGTCCCTGTCACTCAGATAAATATTCATGCCAAGTATGTGAATCACACATGCCGAATGATTGCAAGCCTAAGCCCTAAAAAATGTTTAAATAACCCACTCCTCTGAATACTTAAGATGTTGTTTAAGCAGTTTGCTTAATCACAAAAATAAGACTTAACAAGAAGAAAACTTTCCTATCAAATTTCAGCAAGTTGCAAATGTTCTAGGGTTTTTTCCTCCTACGGTGTTACTTTGATAACAATAATTCAGAGAATTTTGTGAGTATCCACAAACAAGCAGAACGTTGATGATTACATTTTTTTTAAATGCATTAGGCTCTGCAGCTTTCATGAAATAACTCTCTTTAAGAAGTATTTCAAAGTTAAATCCCCCCAAAAAACAAAACCAGTGAAAAAACAAACAAACAAAACAAAAAACCCCACCCACACAGAAACAAAGTACTCCAAAATAAGCTGGTTTATTTTTCTTTCCTGTGACTTCCAGAACCATTTCAATGTAAAAGACCAGTCACTTTAGTCACTTTAAAAGCTGCAGATAACACGATAAATGTTATCACACTTAAGAGCATGATACCTCTCATTAAATGTGCCTAAAACACATTTTACCACGTAGTGGATACACATTCATGTTGTGTAAGTCTCTCACAATAAAAAATTAAGTTCATTTTAAAACAGCAGAATCTGGAATTTTGCATGCCATTCCCTTCAAGATATTTGAATGCAAAGGCTGAAAGGGGTAAAAAGCTGCTCTCCATTTTCAATGCAGCACATACTTAGCTTCTAAATAAAATATATTTTAATGTCTGAACAACCCCCAAAGCATTAGGAAATATCTAACAAACATTTCTCTTGGAAGCTAATGTCTCCCATGGTTTTATGTTACAACTGTAAAAGAATTTTATCGCTTCCTAAGGGCCAAGTAGACAAACTGCTTCTAAACAGCTCTAAAGAAATAAGCCAGGATACAGTTAATTTCCCTCTGCAGAAATTTCAACTCATCATTATCTAATTAGCTGCAAAAAGAGAAGGTCACCTGATCTCTTGCAACAGAGTCTGGCCTACTTTCTTGAAGAAAAGAACCTGTAATTTTGGGATTCCCTTCAGATATGGAAACTGTAAATCTCCACAAAAAAAAAAAAAATACAGGCAATAACAACAAAACCAAGAAACTTATTGGAAAAAAAATCTGCCTCAGTCAGTTATTCCTTAAGATTTGTTCAGTGTTTTGGTTCAGATGTAAGCTTCTGTAACACGAATTTCTAGCTGCCGTAGACTTTACAACGTATCATCATCCTATTTCAAACCAGCACAAATCTGTCTCTTACAACACAGTCTCTTGGCACGTTCCGACTGGAATGTTATAATGTCTGTCATCCTCAGTTATGAGAGTCACCACAGGCCAGTCCTCCTCCGGGTCATTTGGATAAAGTGTGATGAATTCATCAGTACTGTATTTATACAATCGATAGACTTGGATGGTGTACCGCAGGGTATAAGCGAGGAGAAACATTTCCACCTACACGAGAAAAAAGGGGAAGTAAAAATTGTAAAATTAACCTTATCTTTTTTATGAGTCGTTTCTCTTAAAACAAAATAATTTCTACCACTACAAAGTTTATGAAGAAACTAAACACTTGAAGAAAAATAAGAAAAATGAGAGAATGTATATGTGCCAGCATCTCTAGTTCAGTACCTCAGTTACTCTAGCAATTCTTAACTTGCTGCCTCAATACCTCTTCTAAGATACCATGCCTTTTGATGCAGAGCTCTTCAGACACTGCAATAGCATCAAACCAAAAGCTAATTTGTACTGGATAACTCTTCTCCACTGCCACAAAAAATAGAAATAAAAAGGGACATTAACTTAGAACAGTATTTAACCCCACTAAGTTACCAAACTCAACATGTTTCAGGTCACGAGCCATTAAGAAGCACTCTGAATTCTCTCGTTCACACACAGAGCAGACAGAAAGTGCTCACTAAGCCTATCTATATCAGCAGAGAGAATTCAGAGCAAGATGGGAAAAAACTTGTCTCTGTTACGACAAGCACATCCTGTTCTAAATAATTCACAATGAATATTGTTGAAAGAAACAGCACTGGCCAGTGGATATCCTGTAAAAACATCGCTTACTGACAAAATTGCATTGAAGAAAGTCGCCACTGATAAGCAGCACTCCAGCTTGACCTTTGCAAACCATCAGTTCATGCAGTAGTGATAAGAGCAGCGGCCTCTCTCATCAATGCTAGAGTCACCAGAAATTTAAGCTGATAAAGATAAGCAAAACAGTACTGGCAATGTCTTAACTGGATTTTTTTAAATGATGTTTCTAGAATCTTTAATATTTGAGAACCCCTGAGGTGATTTTTTTTTTTTTTTTTTTTTTTTTTTTTGCTTTGTTGGTTTTTGGTGACAAGCACATCACTTTTCCGAAGTTTCAGGCAGTAAGTGCCCTTCATTCATCAGAATTCACCAGGTGTATGCACTTTACATGGGCTTGTCCTTCATAACCAGACAGTGCTATCTTTTAAGATTGGTATTTTTAAATAGTTTAATTAACAGTTAGGAAACTACTATATCTCGCACACAAAACCAACATTTAAAAGGAAGGCCTTCATAGCCTCACTAACAACTGTTACATTTTCTCCCAAAAAGAGACCGCATTATTAAATGTGGATTAACAAAAGTTGGATCATTTCTATTATCATGTTCTTCTGCTTGGGATTTTCCACCTGAAATGTTAACGACAACAATCTCTCCTTACTTGTTCAAGCCCTCCACTGTGACCAATTTGATTCAAGTGATTGTGCATTAACTGACAAGGGTTGCTAGATGTATCCCGTGCAAACAGCAACCACGAGAAGACAGGAACCCTCCTTCCATTTTTATCATCATTGTACAACTCAATGGCTGTGTTGAGCATCAAAAACTTCAGAGCTTCATATAGGCTGTACTCCTCCTCTTCATTTTTAAACAATTCCTCACAAGCTTCTTGTCTCTCATTAGCAGCCTCGAGTTCACTGATATTCTTCCACTATAAAAATAACACACACAACATGAACCAACAGGAGCTGCAAAAAAGAAAACAGCCGTTAATTGTGAATTTTCAGTAGAGACCCTTGGAATTTAACTTCAAAACATCTGTTGTAAAGGCACTCTAGAATACTTCCACAGCTGTAGCTCTGCCAAGCCAAGCTGGATCAATCTAATTTTTCCTCAGGTTAGCAAAGCAGCTAACCCTTGACCAAAGCAAAAAAGGATGGAGACAGTGGAAGTTTGCTACAAGGTAGCAAGACAAATACTGTCCACATACTGTTTAAGGTAGCAATAGCATTTAATTAAAGGACTACACATCACTCCTTAAAATTAACACAAGAAATAACAGAGGGAAAACATTACTATGTTACAAAATTCTCTTCACCAAGACCTGTCTAAAATATAGTAGTTTTCCATAGATTCTATATTAATTCCAGGATTAGCTAAACCAGGCTATAGAAGACCAGAAAGTTCCACTGGATCTGAACAGATATTCTTTCCTTGATTTTTTTTTTTTTTTCTCTCCTCCTGCATACAGCATCCTTATGCAGAAGTCACCACATGAGGAAAAAAAAATATTTCTTAGTTGCAAGCAACTAAAAACAAGTACCTTAAACTTTACCAACCTTTTTCCTTAATAATATTAAATATTCTTTAATTTCATCACTTATTTCTCCCATTTTCCTGCCCAGTTTTTGTTTCGGCTGCCACTGTTTGATCCAGTCATATCTGCTCAACAACTTCTCAGGAAGCTGCAAATTGACAGAAGAGAAAGCAGTCAAAAAAATCTTGAAAAGAAAAGCCATCACCTTAAACATTATTGAATCAATACATTTCCATATTTCACACCTTAAAATGATCTCTCAGTATGTTACTCTGAGCATATGTAATACTAAGGAATGTATAACTGAAACCAATTGACTTGTTGTAAGTTGTGTTGAGTAACAGTCAGAATACTGGTCTATTCCTACCACATAATCTAAGAAAAATAATCAATACCAAAATTTCCAAAAGTGCTGGAAACACTAAACCTCTAAGATACTCAGGGCCTTCCCTCAATTCCAACAGCAGGTGATGGTGACTGTGTATGTGAAGATGTTCCTGAATCAACAGAAGATTAAGGATGTGAAGGTATCTGAGAGATAATCCAGAAAAGTTGTGGGATACAAACCATTCACTGCATGTAGAAAGAAGAATCCAAAAGGGTAAAATGCTGACAGGTAAGTCATATTATAGTCAAGCTCAACTGGGAACTCAAGTGACTTGGACTCATTTCCATGTTGGAAGAATCACACTGTAAATCTTAAATAGGTAGAGGAGATGCACTTAAAATTTGAATGCTTCTACTTCTTAATTCTAAATGCTTTTGAGAAGTAAGCATACAGCAGAGAGAAATTAGAAGATCATAAAATTATCAAACAGGTCAGAGCCAATATTTCTCTCCTGCCAGGAGATCCAAGATTGACACTTACCATAGTAAAGTCCTGACTCTGCAGCCAGCTTGGCAACTGAGTAGCCTGGCTTAACGCCTGGAACAGGGTTGCTCTGAGAGCACAGTAGTTATCACCTCGTATTCTCCTTATAAATGCAAATTTTTGAGAAACTGCTTCATAACCCTAAGAAAACACAAAATCCAAATATTATTGATGTGCTAAAAGTATTTTGATATAGGTACCTGACACCAGGAAGAAACAGTGAAAAATACATCAAGATTCAAGTGATATACCAAATGATAGGGCAAAAGGACTCTGTCCCTCAAGCCATTTTGCAAGTTCAAATGCTTTTATTTCACAAGTCATGCTTGGGGAAACAAACAAACTCATCTCCCCACCAAAACACAACCTACCACAGTCCAGCCGAACAGCAAACTAACAAGAAATATAAGTAATAATATATAATTGCTAGTGGCATTTGCTGACTGCAGAATAGAAATCTCATTGAAATCTTCACAGTTAACCCATTTAGCTTTTCTAGAAGTTTCAGCAATAGTTGAGCCACTCGCTTGGCGTACATAGTTTCTTTCTCCCGCAGGGAAAAATCTGTGTTTACACTGAAATGCCCTGACACATGCCTCAGCACATTTGTCTCCTCCCTGCTGCTCCCATGTGTGTCATTAAAGGAAAAGGCAGTTCTGAAATATAATTTGTGTAGCTTGGCGCCTCTCTTCAGCAGACTTGAGAAGATCCAGAGCCCTAATTTCTTTTACTAACTTCTTGACGGTGACACAGGGATCATTTTAACTATGTTCCCATAGCTCATGTTTACTCACACAACATTAGATTTTGGTATCGTTTTGGGAAAAAGAAGGAAGAAACCTACATGCTTCTGCTTTTTATCTTCTACAATTCTGGCTCAAGAATAACATAAAAAGAAATGAAAATTTATATAAATTAAAAATCCCTGAACTTGTACACAGAGCTCCAAGTCATGCAATTCCCCAGCTTCAGTCTGCCTTTTCCTTCTGAAAGTCAGTCATCTGCTCTGCCACTTGAGCAGACAATCATCATTACCATTTTTATGGCAACAAACCTACCATTTTTATGGCAAAAAAAAAGCTCAAAACTTTCTAACTGAAAGCGGTAATGAAGAGCTGTATTAATCAAAACCCTATACTCTCAAGGAGCTTTACTAACACATTTTAAACTGCTAGCCACTAGTCACTTCAGAAACTAGACACTGAAAATATTTCTATTACATTTCCTTTTTAAAGTTTTCCCATAGGAAATCACCTTCTAAACTTGTAAGTGAAAACAATTAAAAAAAAAAGATAAAAAAACCAACAACCAAAAAAAAAAACCCCACCAGCTTGTACCTTTTTCATCTGTTTTGCTACTGGTGTATTTCCTCTCCATTCTTTTATGCAATATTCCATGATGTCCATTTCAGGTGCAACACTTAGTTTATGTTCTGTTAATATAGAATACACAGCATTATTCAGAGAACTGTGAAACAGAGCAACAGAGAAAAGTATCAGAACTTACACACCATCTGTTTAAAATAAAATTGATGCCAATTGAAGAGAGACTGAATAGCACAACCTACAGCTACGAAATAATTTTTAGTATCAGAGGGGAAAAAAATCTCCCAGTTCTTAGAAACCACAGCAAAAATGACATAGTCCAAAAAAAATAGTGAATTCTCTCTATTCTTCCCACCTTGAAGATATTAATGTAAAAATAATGGAAATTTTCTTAGAAAAGTGTTAGAAGAAAATTACTCTCTTCTTCCTTTGCGAGTCACATGTATAGAAGATAGATAACATCTTCATAGAATACAAAGGAAGATAAGAGAAGCAATGGGAGAACATATGTAATACAGCTTTCTCTATAGCTACAGAAAAGAACACAGTTGCTAACAGCAACTCATTTTACATTTTTAAAGTTGATTCTTTTGAATAAAGTTGATAAATAACTTGTACTGTGCAAACAGACATCAGTGCATTAAAAAACATTTTGGAAACGAAAAGCTTTAAATCATCACACATAAAACTCATTGTAATACTACACTTGAAATGCCAAACAAAGGTCGAATGTACCTGAAGAGCCAGTCTCACAAACAAGCAACATTTTCTCTCTCTCCATTTCTTCTGCATCACGATAAATGTCCTCCTCACTGCAATAAAATTCATACACTTCATGTAACACCACAAGTCTTGTAGTTATTGGCCTTTTCCCCTGTTCACCACTAAACTCAAGCACTGATAACTTTCTACAAGTCTGATTTGAACTTCATGTGCCCTCAGTTTTATAAATTTTCAAGTAAGTTCCCCAAAATACTCAGATATGAGTTTAAAAAAATTTAATCCCTTCTCTTTTTTTAAATTTATGGCAGGTATTTTGGCAAACAACTGCCTGAAATTCTGTTTGTTAGGAAACTAGAGAAGAATGGAATCTTCTTTATGAAGAATTTCAAGAATATTAAATAATTTTGAAAATCCTCTGAGAAAAAAAAAGTAATTTGTTATTCAACTGCAATCATGAACTTGGCTTACTTATAGTCTGAAAATAATAAGTCCTATAAAATACAAAGAATAAGCCCATCCTTCAAACATGAGCAAATCTTTCCACATGGGAAAAAAGTTACTCTGGGATACAATCTTAGGATTACATCTTTAGGATCTAACACACAAAAAATTCTCAACTGTTTAAACTAAGTGAAGTCATTTAAAGGTATTTAGTGCAAAACAGAGTCCATGTTCCTTCAGTAGATATTACCTCATCTTATTTCTGGGAGTTGACAAAATTAGTCTGACAGCACTTACTTCAGTGATTAATACCCACTACAAGCAAAGTATTGCAGCAATTTAACTGTTTTGAAATCAAGTTGGGTAACCACAGGCAATCTGTCCACACAGCAACTCTACTTCGCTTCAGAATACAAAGCACACCTTGATACGGCACTAGTCTAGAAACGAAGCAGCTGAGTACATCTGCAGAACCACGAATGCAGAAGCTACAGACTTTCTCATTAGCTTCCACTGAATTATTTGGCAGGACAGCAGGAACAAAGCAGAAGCCTGAACCACAGAGCAGTCCATCCCTGCTGCCCTCACAGCTGCTTCCCAGGCCGTTTGGCTTTCCCGGATGCCTGCACTGCAGCTTCCCTCGTGTCGGTGCTGGAAGCCCTGGCCACCTCCATGCAGGCACTTCTGGGCCGAGCTCAAGGAGCAGTTTCCTGCTGAGGCAGGCAGGACTGGGACCTTCTGCTGCTCCCCACGCGGGATACTGCTCCTGCTTGTCACCTGCTCTCCACGTGGAAAGGCCTCTTCTTGCCCGCTCAAGGGCAAAGGGCTCAAGTGTTTGAGAGTCCCTTGGAGATGGGAGGTGCCTCTGCAGGGGGAAGCAGAGGTAGCCCCTTCTGCACTTGGATCACGTCCAAGCTGCTGCTCCATATACAGGGACAGCTCCCTCCTCATCCTCCCTGCCTGCCCTTCCTGACAAGCTCCTACCTGTCTGTCGCAGCACTCCCTCCACATGAGCTGCCCTCAGTTGCATTTGTCTGGATCCTCTCTCCAGCTGGCCTGGATTCCCACAGCTATTTGGCTTTCCAAATTGTTGTAGAAGCCAAGCCCTTGCTGACAATACCAGCTTTGCAGCCCAGGAATGATCCTCGGGCCCTTTTGCTCCTCCTCCTGCCCCAGCAGGATGCAAGAGACACCAGCTGCATCATCGGGCCCTGCATCATGGAGCCACAGAATGGCTGATGTTGGAAGGGACCCCTGGAGATCATCCAGACCAACCCTCTGCTCAAGTGGAACTGCCTACAACACGCAGCCCGGGCTCTGTCCAGGCAGCCTTTGAGGATCTCCAAGGATGCAGTGTGGGGGAAGGATCACCTCCCTCGACCTGCTGCCAATCTCAGGAAACTCCTGGTCTTCTCGGCACGTTGTTGGCTCACGGTCAACTCCTGGAACACATCACTAGCTACAGACCTCCAACCAGACTTCTGATCACAACCCTTGCAGCTCTGCCAGTCAACCAGTTTTTAAGCCACATCACTGCCTGCACATCTAGCCCATCCTTCCTCAACTTGCCTGCGAGGATTTCATGGGAGAGTGTCAAAAGCCTTGCTACCCCGATCCTCTTCCAGCAAAGGAAAGGCTTCCTTTCTCGACTCCTCGCCACTCTCCAGGACCCAGGAATCCCGAGGGACAGTCTTACCTGGAAAGACCAGCATAAAAGTGGCATTCAGTACCTCTCCCTTTTCTCTATCCCTAGTGAGCAGGGCTGCTGCCTCATTCAGCAGCAAGCCCACATTTTCTCCCAACTTTTTTTGCTTCTGCTATATTTATTCTTCTTGTTGTCCTTGACACCCCTAGCCAGGTTCAACTCCACGTGGGCCTTGGCCTTCCTAGCCCCATCCCTGCATACTTGGGCAACATTCCTGTGTTCCTCCCAAGTTACCTGTCCCTGCTTCCACCTTTCTTCTTGCATTTGATTTCACTTGGGTTTTGTCAAGGAGATCCTCGTTCATCCACACAGATCTCCTGCTACCTCCACTTGACTTCTTGCTCACTGGGATGGATTCAATAAGTTTAGTATCAACCCAAGTATCCTTAGTAACCCTAAGTATCAACCAGCTTTCTTGGACTTCTTTTATCTCTAGAAAAATCTGCCCTATCCACAGGATTCTTTCAAGCAGATCCCCAAAGAGGCTACAGTTTGGTCTCCTCAGGTCCAACACTGCAGTCCTGCTTCCTGCCCTGCCTTCCTCCCAAATTCCTGAATGTCACCCTCTCACAGTCACTGCAGCCAAGGTTGCCCCAACATTCCCACCTCCCACTACCCCTTCTTTCTTTGTAAAGAAGAGCTCCAACAGGACGACTTAAGTCCCCTAGGAGGGTCAGGGCCTGTGAATATAGAGTTTATTCCAGTTGTACCCATTTTTTCCCCACGATCAGAAAACACCCGCAACAGTGTCACCTATGCCAGTCTGCCCCTCAATCCTTACCCATAAGCTCACTCAGCCCAACAGCCCCTCCTAGGTAGAGCTCCAAGCACTACAACTGCTCTCTCACATAAAACCATTCCCTCCTTGCTCTTCTGGCCTGTCCTTCCTAAGCAGCCTATCTGTACCCATATATTGCAGTATTCCTGTCACATGAGCTATTCCATCACAGCTCCATGAGCTCATAGCCTTGCAACTGCACAGAGATCTCCAGTTCCTCCTGTTCATTCCTCACACCACATGCCTGATATGAGGTATGTATGTGTACCATACACCTAGTATGTGAGGTGTATGCCATGGTATTACTACCATAGCGTACAGCCACTTCAGAGAGGCATCTCAATGGGCTCATTTCCCAGAATAAGTGTAGGAGGTTTCCTCACAGTCTTGTCTTGTGGGTGCTTCCTTGCCTGCAGACAAATGCTTTAAGTAGCCACCACTCTAGGCTGACTTGTTGATTGTAGGACCTCTACATCTTTCCTAGTTTAAAGTCTTCCTTATTGGGTTGGTCAGGATTGTTGCCACTGATGTATGTGACCCACTTAGGTCGATCTCATCTCTCCCAACCAGACGTTAATCTTCAAACAGGGGCTCATTACAAAGGGTCAGAGAAACCAAATCCTTGTTGCCATCATGAGCTGTGCAGCCAGCTGTTGACTCTCTTTCTCTCTACTCATCCTTGTATCCTTCCTCCTCACTGAAGGGATTAAGGAGAAAACCCTCTGGGCCCCATGGCCCTGACAACTCCCCTTTCCCAGAGCTCTCTAGTCACATTTGATGCTGTCCAAGTTGGCCTTGTAGGATCAGCAGAGCCCACATGACAAAGGGGTAGACAAGCTTGACAGCCTCTCCCCAGCACCCCAGATCTGAGCCCCCAGCAAGCAGCTAACTCTCTAGACATGAGGTCACGTTGGCCTCTGTCCTCTCTGCTGCACAAAGTTACCCACTGCTATCACTCACAGCTTCCTCCAGGTGCTCCCGCACGGCCCAGATGCGTCATTAAAAGCACGCTGAGCTCCTCCTGAGCTTTGAGGGCAATTATCTTGCTCAGCGGCCACAAGCATTCAGGAAGAGCAAGAGCCTTCTTCCCTGTAAGAAAAGTCACCAGCTCCCAGCCTGTGTCTTCCTTGGAGCTACGATATACTGTCCCACAAGGCACTCTGCTCGAGTGTCTCCATTGCTGATGAAGACGAGTGCTCCTGAAGTTGTAGGGTCTCTTAAGACACTGTCCGTCTCCTGCTTTCTGCAGCCTTCCTGCTTCTCCTGGTCGTGGCGACACAACTCAACAGCAGTCACCTTCTGCAGGTGTCAGATTCTACACTGAGTATCTCGGGCTTTGTGCATACAAAAAGATAAATAGCAAAACTAACACGGTAAACAGGGAAAGAAGCCACAAGCACACAAAAATAAATAGCTTTATACTCATGGACCTGAAGTCCTGTGATTTAAAATATTGCATATGAAAGTGAAATCCAACTTTTCTTACTATGAAGGAATGAACACTGTTCTTTTTAATGCCAAAGACTAAACTCATTATTAACTGCTTAGGTAAATTCATACATTATATCAATATAAAAATGCCCAGTAGCCTTAGTATATTTAAACAGTAGCATTAGTACATTTAGAAATTCTGAAGCTTAACGTTCTGTAACTGCACTTTGGCCAACATATGGAATAAAGTATTCACAAGAGTAAAGCCAAGCTACCCAAGTTAAGAACACTAAGTTCTTCCAGTCCCAATGCTCTGCATCCCACCTGAAATGGCTTGCTATTATAGTATGTGTTTTGTTAGTTTGGAAAAGAGGGCACCTATTAAACAAAAATCTTACCTCTAATGTGATTAGTCAGCCTCCAGAAAAAGCAACTAGAGATTTGAGGTGTATGCCTATTTAACTAAGATATTGATATACTATCGTTTTACCAAGACTCAGACAAACACCACCCTCTCCCAGAAGCAAAAGCTCCTCTTCCTACGGGAAGGCTGCCACTGCACCAACACAAAGCCCGCGCCTGTGCACGGCCGACCCCACTGCTGACAGACCCGCTCAGACAGAGGGCTGAGCTCCCCTCACGGCTCCCACGGGCGCCCTGCCCTGCCGCAAGGCGCTGCGCCACCTCCGCCCCCCGGCACCCGCCGGCAGGGCCCGTCCCGCTCCCGGACGAGCCCAGACCCTAGATTCCCAGGGATATTTTTCTCACAGAGCCTCGTGCGACTCGAGGAGGCGGCCGCGGCGCTCTCACCTTCGCAGCCCCCGGAGCCCGGGGCCGCCGCTTGCCTGGGCCGCTCGCTGCTCGGCAGCCACGGCCCCGGTGCCGGTACCAACAGCACCCAACGACCACAACCGCCCCTCACCGCTCATAACCGCCCCCCGGCACCGCGGCGCGCGGCCACACGCGCATGCGCGCCGGGCGCGGGGGCGGGTGGGCAGAGCCAATGACGGGTGGGGGGAGACGGGACCCCTCCCCCCGGGCTCGCAACGGCCGCGCGCGGCCGTTAACGGCCGCCGTGACGGGGGCGCGGGGCGGCTGCGGAGTGCGGCGGCCTCGCTGCAAACGCGGCTGCGAAGCGCGGGGCCTGATGCGGTTCACTGCAGCATCAGTGAATCGGGGCTTCTCTGCCTATAAAATAATGTCGCCCACGAAACATACTGTTTTATTAAACTGCAGTGCAGGTAGAGAAGAGCACCTCCACAGGCAGTAAATGATGGGCCTTCTGAAAGTGCAGCATGTGCTGCTCAGGGCTAGGCTGAATAATGAATAATGAATAATGAATAATGAATAATGAATAATGAATAATGAAATGTAGCCCATACTATTGAAAAGAAGGAGTGCTGAAAAGAGTAGTATGGAACAAAGACATACTCTGGTAGAAAAAAAAAATGCTCCACTTAAGTGTGAGCATTGTAGGAGTTCACTTAGAAATACGGCCTGAAAATAATAGAAAAATGAGTATTTATCTTCTTTGTGGAAATTACTTCCCTTCCTAAGTGTGCTTTCTCTGATAAGGAGAGAAAAATAATTAGAAAATGGCTGGTAATAAAAGAATTTGAGCTATCGTAAGGTAAGATACAGCATGTATTTAGAGTATCACGCAGCATGCAAATATTTTTAAGGTAGAGATGAGGTAGTAAGGTTTCGTATACAAAAACAAAATGATAGTGACAGGGAATCTACAGCATTAATAAGCTTTTAGTCATCAGACGTTTTTGTGGACAAGAGCTTGTTTTGTGGTTCATTTGACCTTGGAACACAAGAAAGTATCATTATAAATGGAGAAAGAAGAAGGGCATTACCTTTTTTTCTTTTGAATCACTGCTCTGCTTTTCCTGACTTAAAATAGTATTGGGTTCCTCTTGACAGTGATGTTTCCTCTGAAAGATCTCTTTCTTTGAGTAACTGTTCAGCCCACCACTTTGTCTCAAAATATCTTCTTTCAAATCAGCAATTTCAACATTATTCATCTTCCAGCAGCCATGACACTTAACATATACCAAACTGTTCCCCATTTTCCTATAATCAAAGGAATTCATATTTAGTGGCATGTGAGAGTTAAGAGTCTCAGTTGCCCCCAGTTTTTATTCCCTTAGCAACATCATAGGAGAGAGATGCTTTGACTGACCTTTTCACAGCTGTTCAAAAAACTACAGAGCAGGATAATTCAATAGGCCTTTATAATCCGGGAGAAGTTGCACCTGCAGCCTAATTTGTTCTGTTGACCAGAACAGTGTAATATAAAATGACACTGAGAAAGACCTATCTGTAGCTGAGGTATCAAACAAAAACTATGAGTTCTGTGTTCTTTTTGGAACCATTTCCCTGAAACAAAGTTCCTAAACAGCTATTTTAACTCTCTCAAAAAAATACTAAATGAACACCTTGCTATGATGTCACATTTCAGACTATGTTAGAATGCCATATGAACTTAAAATAATGTGTGATTCATTTCCTTACAAAGGGGACTTAAATCAGTCACATGATTTTTTTTTCTCTTGATTACAAAAAGGGCAAAACTAAATCCTAAGAGTGGTGATGTTCTTGTATAAACTTTGTGTTTTCATTAAGTGGAAGTAGTTGCCTAAACATACCATCACTGAAGTTGATTATATCAATGCAACAGAAAACTCTGCTCTCCCCACGATCGCCCAACAAGAACAACTGAAAAAAGTTCAGTCTCTTCAAATTAATTGTGTTCTATAATAGGTGGCT